ACCTGTGTACCTTGCGGTAGGACGTGAAAAGCTGTGGCTCCGGGAGCTACAATAGGGTAATAGGGTGTCCTAGTGTTGCACGCAACGTCGCCTTGCACGCAACGGAGTTAACTCTAATAGAAGGCTAGTACGCAAGAGAGGTGCTTACCGCGCAAGATAGCTGCTACTTTGTTCTTAGCTTTACTCTCTGCGGACTCTTTATGCGGCTGTAGGAGTTTAACTAACTTAGAGGCATCGCCTCTAAGTAGTTAGACGTTAATAAGAATAGACTGCAGTTAGTGTCTGTAATGCTTAGGTTTCTGTAGATAGACGAGGCGTAGCTAGGGTTCGATCTGACTTTTGTTACAGTTAGAGATAAGCGGTATATTAAGATTGAGCGCGAGAATAGAAAAGAGCGCTTTCGTTGTTAATAAGATAATTAAACGCGTGCCTTGCGTTGCTAGCCGCGCAATAACCTGCTAGAAAGTTTATTAAGAAGAAGACTCTGGCACGCCGCTTGTTGTTAAGAACTTATAGTAGTATCTAGAGCGCGAGGAGAAGGGCGAGCTGCTACGTAAGGCGACAGAGAAGAGGGTAAAGAACGTAGCAAGGTACATCTACTATGAGACACTCTGTGTAGGCGGTTAAGACGACGATATTAGCGCAAACGTGCGAAAAGGGCTAGGTATAATAAAGGCAACAAACTACAAGCTAGAAAAGTTAATGCTGCTACTAAGTACGACCGGACGCTGGGCTTCGCGGAGAGACAGGAGCAGCAGCGCAGCTGGACGGAAGCGATTATTGAGCTGCACTAACGCCTTGCTGCCGCCTAGCAAGCGCACTTGTTTGAGCTCGACAACAAAAGCTGCGATTGTTAACAGGGTCTACCGCCGTGTTATTGTCCGCGACTATAGGAAGGCTATTTACAAAGCAAGCTCTCTAGCCAGTCTGCTTGCTGGATTAGAGCAATGCATTGAAGGAAACGAGTCCCTCCACTCGCGAGGTGGCATGCTTCAGCGCGACATATCGCTGAACAACCTCATGGTGCACGAGGACGACGAAAACCCGTCCTGGCGGGCGTTCTTGATCGATCTCGACCTTGCCATCAACGAACAGCGGGAGATGTCTTCAGGGGCGCGTGGGAAGACCGGCACGCGAGCGTTCATGGCAATTGGAGTGCTTTTAGACGACGAACAAGACTCGTTCATGCACGACCTTGAATCATTCTTCTGGGTCCTTTTCTAGGTGTGTATTCATTATGATGGGCCTGGCAAAGACATTGGGTCACCTGAGTTCGAATGTTGGAATTATGAGAGCAGTGGAAAACTAGCGGAGCTCGAAAAAGGCCTGATTTCTGACGAGAAGGATTTTCTGAAGACTGTTGAAGCTAGATTTACGACTTACTACAAACCGTTCGCTCCTTACGTCAACAGATTACGGAGGAAGATATTTCCCGATGGTGGGAGATGGAGGGTTCCAAATCTAAAGCTGTACACGGAAATGAAGGGCATCCTTCGGACAGCACGGGATGACTTGGAGGAGTTAGATGGATGAGGAGATACAAATCCGTGAACACAACCAGTTGCTTTTTATATCTATGTGGCGGTGGAAATGCATCCGTTTTGGGAGGTCTTTGAATGCTGCTTATGGAGGCGTTTCCACCCCGCCTAGCCTCTGGCATCGTATTCTTCTGACCACGTACTGGTGCTAGGTGTACGAATCGCTGGAGAATGTTATCATACCAGCTATACCTTGGTAGCCTCGCATAGGAGAAACCTAAGGCGTCTGAGTAAATTACAGTCACAATGCACACACAACAGTCACTGATGAGCTTTCTGGTCAGCCATCACCATCCGACAATGCCTGCAACGTCCCGCATCGACGAGCCCTCAGGCTAAACAACACCACCTCTCGCGCGAACCAACTCACAGACATCTAGCATGCTACTATCGGTGCCTACAACACATACAGGCCTTCGAACGGCCTCGTCCCCAGCCGTCTTCACTCTGTGTCGAAGAAGTGGTGCCTCTTTGATACACCCGACAAGGTGTGAGAGATTTGCGAGGAAGCCCTCATGCTCAGTAGAGTCGATAGCGCGCACGGGCGGAGGATCGGTCTTGTGAAGCTGCGTCACGATAAAATGCTGCTATCGCTGCGCTCGGCGGCAGGTCACAATACACCCCACAACCGCATGGGAACCTACTGGACGGCATCGTAACACTTAAAGAACATTAGAGAGCGGGTAACATATCTCAGGCCCTAGGAGCACGAGGCAAGCTAGCACACACTACAGCTAAACGCTAGAGGGAGACTGAAGGTATTGCAGTTGCAACTCACGAGGTAACGCGCTTCTACGAGCCCTGAGACATTGTTACACCCACAAGGCTTGGAGTTACTTCATACACACAGGTATGACTATTCGAGGAACACAAACACAGGCAAACACGTCACTTTATGAGGCGAAATGCACATAGTCGTAGATAGAAGCCAGACCAAGCATGGGCGAGGGGACAGCTGTCCGCCAACCCTTTGCATCTACCGTGCCCGTGCGCCCGATGAGCCAGTTCAGCCGATGAGCCACCTGAACATCACAACATTGAGATGGCTACAACTTCAACGCTAAATATTTCCACCACCATGGATCCGATTCAAGAAGCAATTAGATATATCGAATCGCGTGAAGCTGGTGATAAATCCTCGTACCGCCAAGTTGCCAAAATGTTTGGGGTTGATCGAACGACGCTGTCGCGGAGGCACAACCAGCGAACACACTCAAATGCAGAAGAAGCGCGCCGTCGACAGCTACTCAGCCCACAACAAGAGGACATACTTGTAAAGTACATAGAAAAGTGCACAAGAGACGGCTTACCACCTACTAGAAGCATGTTGCAAAATTACGCTACGACAATCACGAAGTGGGAGGTTTCTGAAAGCTGGATTACTTGGTTTCTGCATCGCCACGCCGACAGGCTCACCACCAAATGGACTACCGGGATGGATCGTGAGCGCCATTTAGCTGACAGCAAGCATAAGTACTAGTTGTACTTCGATCTGCTGCACTCTAAGATGCGCGAGCACGGTGTTGAAGAGCGCAACACGTACAATATGGATGAGAAAGGCTTCTTCGTCGGCATCAACAGCCGCACCAAACGGATAGTTTCTAAGGCAATTTGGGAGTTAAAAGAGCGCACCGCGACGCTTAGAGATGGGAACAGGGAATGGGTAACGCTGCTGGCTTGCGTATGCGCTTCTGGAGAGTCATTACCGCCCGCTCTCATGTACTAGGGCACCTCTGGGATTCAATCGATCTGGATTGACGACCTTGTAGCCGAACAACACCAGCTTTTTATCTCCCACTCGGCGACGGGATAGTCAAACAATGACTTGGAGCCTGCCTGGCTTCAGCAGGTGTTCGATCGCCATACAGCAGCCAAAGCTCGCCGTTAATGGCGGCTTCTGATCCTTGACGGCCACGGCAGCCACCTTACGATGAGATTTATCGAGTTTTGCGACGCCAATCGCATCCTAATAGCTATCTCTTCACCTCATTCAACCTACAGCTTACAGCCGCTCGATGTGGTGCTGTTTTCGCCGCTTTCGCGCAACTATACCGCGCAATTTAACCGCAACTAGCAGCGATCGCGAGGCATCGGGAGAGTTACAAAACGCGACTTCTACAGCAACTTTTAGGCGGCGTGGAGCTCTGCAATGAAGCGCGATACAATTGCAAAGAGTTTTCAAGCTACAGGCGTGTGGCTGATGGACGCGGAGGTTGTCAAACAAGCGCAGGCTGCAGACCTGGCTGCGCGGAGGGCTGCTAAACAGTAGCAACGCGACGCTGCAACCGCACAAAAATCTCAAGATATACCTACAGGATGCAAGCGAACAGCCTCACACAAAGCAGTCAAAATTCCAGCAAAGCGTCGTCGCGTTGTAGCTGCAGCAAGTCGTGCTGACACTGGTCCGCCTGCTGCGTCTCCCCCACCCAAAACCAGCGTGCGCAGGCGCCAAATCAAAACACCAGCGAAACTTGAAACAGTGCAAAAGAAGCGCAAGGCTCTATATAGCAATACATCAGCTTTTCTCACGATAATCGCTTTTGTGGGTGGCTCTACAGCCTCATCTTTGTGGTCGTCTGATCTCGGTGGGGTGGCTCGGTACGCGACCTGGCTCGGCACACGCACACCCACTGTAGATCGGGCTGGGGTAGACCTGAAAACCACGCTACGCCACCACGCTCCCCCACTCATCGACACACAGATCGCCAAGTAGCATGTCACTGACGCGAACCTCTGAATGTTTACATCTTCGCGCATAGTGCTTCATCACCTCTCGATTTTATCATTGCATCGAACGGCTCGCAGAGTCATACCACTGTATTTGCAACAGCGTTACCAGCGGTCAACTGCACAAAACTCTGAGCGCAAGGCACATCCGTATACAGAATGAGGTGAATGCGGCTCTTATAATGCAGCCTCCACGAGCAATCGCTGACGCGTCCGCATAGCTTCTCGGATCTGCCTGGTATGCGCCCGCTTGAGCCTGACTGCTCTTATCCATTGTACCTACTGGATAATCGGATGTCTCGGCTAATCACTGCTGGAAGATCCATCACTGGTAAACAACGGCACGGCCGCAGTGCAACTAGTCCCCTACACTGAGCCTTCATCCTGTGGTTCCGGAAGGGACCAATATCAAGCTATCTCTGCCCAGGAAGAGTGTGCTAAATTCAGCTTTGAAGAACTCAGGTTGGCAGATTACAAACGGGGACACGCGCCATCTGCCAGGCAGAGAGATGATGTTTCAGCGATGCTCTCCACTCAGCCCTTACAAAGATTGCGACGAACCGATGACAAGAGGCACAACAGCCATCTTTCCCTGTATGTACCCCAATAGCCTTATCTACAGGTCATAAGATTGATATGCGCAGTCTTACCGGCCCCACGATTAAAATCCACGTCGGCACAGCAACCTGTGTACACAGCCCTGCCGACCTTTCACTCAGCTGGTTCTTACCCAAGCGCTTGATCTCGCATCACTCACCTTTCCTTGCGGCTGCTTGTAATCGGGACTTCAAGAAATGTCGCCAGAACCTAATCGAGCTCCCGGACGACGAACCCACTGTCTTTGCGCTTTTCGTCGAATGGCTGTACTACGGAGATTACAGCATCGAACCACTGTCGTCATCCTCTCGCAATGGAACCGATAGCGTCAGTGTCGACGCCGAATGCTGGGTCCTTGGCGATAAGTTATTGTGCACTGACTTCAAGAACCATGCTATGAGGCGTCTTTATAAACAACATACAACCAAGATCCTCGCCAGGTCTATCTCGACGTACGATGTGCAGTTCGTGTGTGATAACAGCGCCAAAACTTCGAAGCTTCGAGAGCTGTATGTGGGTTTGACTGCTACAAACTTTGGGAGACAAGATCGCGTTCATGGAACCGTGGAGGAATGGGACGAACTTCTTTTGACCCAATCCGATTTGAGGCGGCTACTCTTGCAGAGGCTCCGTTTGGACGCTGCTGAGCAGAATTTTGTAAGAAGCGAGGAGCACTACCTGGAAGACGGCGACGCTCCTCTCCGATCTTGTGATACTTCTTCTTCCAGTTTCCAGTGTGTCCATCGACCAAGTAAGTTACTTACTTGACGCCAGAGCACTAGAGCACTACAATGGACCAGACTAAACTAGTCAGAAACTTAAGCACCGACGCGCGACACTGGCCTATCACCTCAAGACAAGCTGCTCACGTCGAAGCAACCAATTGAACCGGTCGGTCTAGAGGCTCTGCAGTTGCTTGGAGTCCTGATTTCGACTAAGCTAGTTACTCGGTTGATCGATATACAGGCCTCATATTCTATAGATTAGAATTTTGGTGACAGCGAACCGGTTCAATATATATACTATGCTATACGACATACTATATCATACGACATACTATACTATACTATACTATACTATACTATACTATACTATACTATACTATACCATATGCCTAAACTGTACTAATGGGGTAGGGTTAGGATGTCCTTAAAAGCAAGAAATAAAGGGACTCGCAAGACACAGAGGGACTCCTCTTGCCCCCGGGGGCAAGATAAAAACGACGCACCTCTACTAGTACAAGTTAATAGGTCTGTGCGAGAAGTCGCGTGCTTTGACCTTACTTATACCTTCCAGAGCCGCTTACAGCTTCTCTCTCATGACCTCTTATTTCCCTCAAGACACTAGTTTACTTGTACCACCACCTCCAACTACAGTCAACCTGCAATGAAGCGGAAAGTCGTAAATGTCTCTACAGAAACAGCAAAAAGGCACCGTATAGCCGCAAAAGAGATGAGAGAGGCAGACTGTGTGTACGACCGAGCTGCGCCGTACTTACTAGTCATAGCCAGATTTCCAATGGACGCGCTCACCTCTGAATGGAGTATTGGGGTCAATAGACCTGTTAATTAAGCTCACAAGCGTCGCCTCCGCCAGATCTTCGATGAAGCAGGCGTTCTTCGGCGAGACACAAGTCACCAGTTGCAAGTCGCATGTTCCAAGGCGCACGTGCAGCAGATGCTAGAACGCCTGAAAGTGGAGGGTCAGGCGCAGACCACTGCGGTTGCAGCCGAGAGTGCAGATGGTGATTCGAAGTGGCCATTGATCTGGTACCGGCATAGCCACCGTTGCGGCCACGGCAGGAACGTACGATGTCGCAGGCCAAGCGCTGTAGGGAACACGAATCTTGTTGCTCTCAAAATACTGAACGGCAAAATCGCCGCCCTCGCGGATGAGATCCTTGAGTACGTCCTTGCTGCCTAATTCTCTGACGTGAACCTTCGCTACCTCAACTACAGCAGATCGCATCGCACAATCATTCTCAGGAGTAGTCGCATATATTTCTCGAATGCATTCTGGAAAGGAGTCGCTTATCCAGAGATCTTCTAACTTTTGTTGAAGTTTCGCTGTGGCAACCACTTTCAAGTCCTCCAAAAAGAACATGTTAGCAAGGGCATATACTCGAGGCTCTTTCAGCAGCGCGGGGTCATCTGGTAGCCGTTAGGAAATCGAGCGCCTAGGTAATAGAGTCCGTACCTTCTGAAACATGCGACAGCTCGTCCGAATAGCCGCCAGTGTACAAGTACTCAAATACCCTCCAGTGGGCGGCTCCACTACCAATGTTGAATGTGAGCACCCCTGAGCTTCCCTCAACGAACGCGTCCTGGAATGCCTTCTCGAAGTATTTGCTTTGCGTGCAGATGACGGATTTGTGAACAGATAGTGTTATGCCATTGATAAGGACTGTAGCGTCGGAATATCTCGTGTCGTTGAACAAACTGTGCAAGTTAGGCACAGTTGCGCGGATCTAGAGGCTGCGTACCTGGCGATGTCCCGCGCTAATTTGGTTGGGCGTGCTTCTATTATGGCGACAAGCGATATGGTAGACGGCTGCCCTTCCGGTACGGTTGCTGGCAGGCTCGATTGGCAGCTGTTGGGATTATGCGGGTACTCTGCACAAAATGGCCTCTTCAGATAATCTGTCGCCACGTTAGACTGCGGTTAAGGTCCACTCCTTGGTTCTACTCTCATTTTCTTATCGCGTCTTATCGCTCGCACCTAAAAATCAAGAGTCTATTAGAACCTAGGGCAGTCGCTTAGAGGTAGGCCTTTCGCAAGTACTTCTTTATATTCTTGTTAGTACTCTTTTAGGTAGTAATGTGCTTATATATACTGTATATACAGCTCTTATATATAGAGAGATACTTAATTTATAGAAGTAGCTATCTATCTAGCTAGATAAAAGAGAACTTATTATAATTAGCTTTTGGTAGATGCGATGCTTTAAGAGTAAGAGCTTCTACTTATATACTAGCACGTTGCTTTAGCTTAATGTTATAACTATAATACTTATTAAGAGCTAGTTATATTAATCTACGTATTATATACTACTATTATCTTACTACTTATTATATATAATAAGCGCTTAGCTATTCTAAATAGAGTTTTCTATTACTATAGAATCTTAACTCTAAATATAGAGAATAGCGCTACGTCTATTAAGCTTCTAGAAACTAATAGTATATATAAATCTACGCTAACTTTATATAGGTAATAAACTTATATAAGTATATTATTACTAGATATTAGAGAGTATATAGGCTAGGTATTAGTAGTTAGAAATTTCTTATAAAAAGTAGAAAACTCTAGCGCTAAGCTACTTTAAGTAAATATAAGACCTTACACTTAGCCTTATATTAGTTAGAGCTAGTAGGCCTAAGTATATTCTCTAGAGTAGGCCTATAGTTATATTATAGTAGAATTCTAGCGTGTTGTCGCGTAAGTGTTATTTAGAGAATCTTATAGAGTTTAGTAGCGCGTTTTATAGTTAAATTATTACTCTATAAGTAGGTCGCGAAGCGGCCTACAAGCGAGAGCTATTTAGCTTAGAGCGTATAGAATAGAAGTAGAGCTTCTAATTAGCTAATTAAAGCTACTCTCTTATTAGCTGCAGCTGCTAACCTTATCGCGGAGGTCGGCGTTTCGGAGGGGCTGCAGCGGCAAGCCGACGCGACGCGACGCTCGCGTCGAGTTGCCGCCCCGAGCTTGGCGAGGAACATCAAAACTTCAGACGATCGCAACACGCGCGCAGCGCGAGGTGCGACGCGACGCGTCGCGTCGACAGTCTAGACAGAAGCAAATACTTCAGATAGAAGCAGCGCGTGAGCGCTGTTAGCTAATAAGCGGCCTGCGGCAACTATTAGCGCCGGCCTAAAGGCTAGCGCGGCCTCGCACCTTAAAAAATCCTATTGCCGCCTTCTAGCGAAGCTAGAATCGCAGGGCGGCTTAACTCCGTCTAGAGTTACATTAGATTTTAGTCTCTCTAAATAGCTTGTAAAGTGTTTTGTATATCAGCTTTAGTATAGAAAGATTCTAGGTTTGTAGGTTAGGCTATAGTTGTTTACAATCTAATACTGTAGTTTTAGTAGAGTCTTAGCAAAAGGTGACCGCTCGCTTGTGGTGACCGCTCGCTTGTAACCTACGTTAGTAGCTCTAAGAACGTCATCTCGGGTAGGCTATTACCTACCGCAACGCTTCCGTCTACACGTTATAGCTCGTTACTTTAACAAAGTTCTACCTCTCTATCTCTGCATTGTATTTCCCACGCGTATCAAAACATACATACGATGGAAGCTCGACACAAGCACGGCGGTGGCGACTTTACAGCTACTCGCCATTCTACGACCTACGACTACATCTCGCCCTCCAAACTGGATCTAGTCGGCAAGCATGTGTTGATCACTGGCGCCGCATGGGAAGATGGGATCGGTTATGCCACAGCTACGGCGTTTGCGCGCGCAGGAGCAACTGCAATCGCAGTAGCTGATCTGCACGGCGTATCAGACGAATTGTCCACAAGATTGAAGCAAGCCGCGACGCAAGCTGGACGCGCCGAGCCTATCGTAGTATGTTGCACAGTCGACATATCAAAACTAGACAGCGTGCAAGCCATGCATGATATCGTGTCGCGGGCTTTTGATGCGCGCTTTGACGTTGTAGTAAACAACGCAGCACATATGGAACCATACGTGCCGTTCCTCGAAACAGACGCAGATGTGTACTGGCGAAGCTACGAAGTCAACGTCCAGGGTCTGTTCAACATGGCACGTGTCTTCCTCCCCTTACTACTCTCAATAAACACCACACACAACGGACTGTGCACGATGATTAACGTAGCCTCCTCTGGCGCCCTGACCGCCCGTCCTGGAAGCGGGAGTTACCGCAGCTCAAAGCTCGCTATCTTGAGATGGACAGAAACTTTACAGCTGGAGTACGGCGATAAAGGCCTGCTGGCGTTTTGTGTGAATCCTGGTGCAATCAAGACCAAGATTACGGAGACGGCGCCTGAGGAAGTGAGAAATAGGTTTCCGGATCGACCTGAGGTTGCCGGTGATACGATTGCTTGGTTGGGTGCTGAGCGGAGGGAGTGGTTGGCGGGGAGGTATGTGAGTTGTACGTGGGATATGGAGGAGCTGGTGAGCAAGAAGGATGAGATTGTAGGAGAGGATAAGCTTAAGATGAGGATGGCCTTCTAATTACATCAATTCATTGGCCCTCCCGCTACAGAAGTAGGCGTGGAGCTTCTGTGTCTCCTTCTTGCGCTGGCAAATGGGCTGCTCCGAGATTTTTGGATGGGTTGCCAGATATATCAACGAATACTGATGTAAATCAAGTACATTTTGATTCATCAGATAGCTAGAAGCTGATTTTACAACTTTTCCATAACGTATTGAATAAGTAAGTGAGCTATCTCACCAACTTTGCGCACCCCCCGTGCTTACGCGAAGAACAGGGAGCGGAGCCCGCGCTAAGTCAAGATTCCAGTTAAGTTCTAGGCAGTCCCTCGAAGGTTGGCTTTTCTCTTAACTAGTTTGCTTCTCTGTGCGTTAAGTCTGCCTTGCAGCCTGCAACGCTGTCTTTACGTCGATTTTCGCGTTGTAACCGTAAAGCCAAGGTTGTACCTCGGGACATGTCCATCGACTAGGGAATGCGCTTTGAAGGGGCTTTCCCAGTTGCGCCAGCATCAGCGCATCCCGCTTCTCTTGCTGTGGCCCGTCGCGCAGATGAAAATCTTCTCGCTGCTTGAATGTTTCCTTCACAATAAGTTCGCCGCGTGCCTTGCGTAGCTGTTGGAACAACTGCAGTGTACTTGGTAGTTCATCTTTGGAATTGAAGTGCTCCGGAGCTAGTAAAAGCCCAAGGACGGCGCCGTCTTCGATAGAAGAGTTTGCGCCTTGAGCGAGATAAGGAAGCATTGGGTGACACGAATCTCCGATGAGCACAAGATTATGCTGCGCGTTGATCCAGGAGCTCATCTCCGCCCGGTGCATTAGCTTCCACTTGTCAACCTTGTCCACATAACCGAGTAGCTGAATCAACCTGTGTGAATGGTAAGTATGCGTCCTAGTCGTAGCGCGAGACGAGTGGAGCATCTTACACCGGGTCCCATCCCTCGAACAAATCCCTCATTTCGTCCAAGTTGCCTTCGGTCCTTGCGACACCTGCTTCTAGATCATCGGGAACGAGTAAGACCAAGTTATACATGTCACCGCCACGTATGCTGTATGCTACAACGTGTGCGTCTGGACCCGCCCAGAACCGACACATGGGTGATCGCACCATTTCCCTCAGCTTCGGATCGCTGATCTGATCTATTTTGAGCACGATGCGATATGCTAAATCTCCTGTAGGTAGTGGGGGGTCGTTACGTCCTAGCACAGCAGATCGACAAAAGGACCAGAGCCCGTCTGCTCCGACTATAAGATCGGCGTCGTAGTTCTGGCCCTCTGAGGTCGTCACGCGCGCCCTATCGCCGGTAGACAACCCCTGATCTACAATCGTTACTTTTGCGTTCAGTACTACGATCACGCCCAGTTCTTGCGCTCGCTTGACCATGGCCTGCTGCAGATCTACGCGATGGCAGTCGGAGAATGGCGCTTCGTACTTGCGGCGGATGTTCGCATCGAACTCTGCCTCGTGCGCAAGTATCTTGCCGCGATAGTTGTGGACAGTCAGTGCGATGGGCTCGCAGACACGATCGCGGATAGTGTCGTAAACAGACCAGTTCAGAAGGAGACGTGTAGCATTAGGTGTAAGTTGGAGGCCTGCGCCTATCTGGAATGCTGGTTAGTATAGACACCGATTGCAACCATCTGGTGTCGTAGACGTGAGCACATACTTCAGCCAGCTCCCTTGCGCCCTCCAATACCGTCACCGAGTGTCCTGACAAGGCACATTGTATCGCTGCGGCGAGTCCAGAGAGCCCAGCGCCCACGACTAAGATGTCGAGCTTGTGTGGCATAGCTGGCGTTGGTTCAAGTCGTGGCGGAAAAGGCAAGACACAAGTCAAGCTGCGAAGACGAGTCGACCCAGCGGAACTGACGTGTGCAGGCGCGTCGTCGCCGTACTCGATTAACGTTCTATCAGACACGCATCTATCGCCGGCCGCAGCGCGTTTCGATGCGTGCAGGATAATGTCTCTTCCGGAGTGGTGTGGGGGATGCGGGGTTGCTTGAAGCCACCCTTGCAGTGCTTGCAGCACCCCGGGCGTGCGCGCAGGTCGGCAACGCTTGGCGTGGGATAACAATGGTGGCAGCACACAGAACAACGGAGCATAATCCCAGGTGGCACGTCGAAAGATTGATGCTTTGTCGCTTTGGAGGTGTCGGTATCATTTGCGATGGGCCATTCGAAAAGCATGCCAACTAGCCTGTATCGCAGCACCTCCCCAATGCGAGATTGGTATTGTACGGCAGCTTGCTCGACGGTCTTAATGACGCTAATACTGCAACGATCACGGCCAGACGCTCGCTTCTACATCCCGTGGCATTCAAATATTCCCATTGCTCGATAGCTACGGAGATACGCCGCGCCTCACGTCATGGGGTGGGGTAATGGAAAGACGTTCCGCCCTACCGTTGTTCAAGATATATTCCACGTCACTACGCGTCTGCAACAACATTCCACGCTGTTCGAACAAATACCATTCAACAACCATGGTTTCTCTCGACAAGCCAATTGTGCTCCATTACGAAGGCTCCATCTTCTCGCACCGGGTATTATGGTATCTATGGCTTCGCGGTATACCCTATGATGAATGTGTACATCATTTCCGCCTCTTTCAGTTGCGTCAGCTAAGAAGTCATCTAGATCCAGCCGGCATTCATGCCGCGTGAAGACCTTGAACTGCTGGGCGTCGGCTACAGAAAGATACCCGTCGTGATCATCGGAAAGGACATATACTGCGATTCTCGATTCATCATCTCCAAGCTAGAGTCTCTGTACCCCAACAGCGCTCTCTCACCTTCCACGCCAATGGATGTCGGTATCAGAAAGCTCTTCGAAAACTGGACAATCGACGGCGGCATCTTCGCCAACGCCGTGAGGATGATACCATACTGGCAGGAGACAAGCTTCCTATCGAATGAAGCCTTTGTAGATGATCGTCAGAAGCTCATGGGAAGGCGCTTCACCGCCGATGATATGGAGATGGGGCGGCCCGATGGCACGCAGCATTTGCAGCTCGCTTTTGACATGTTGGAGTCTACTTTCCTCGCCGATGGCAGGGCGTGGATTTTGAACACACAAGAACCCTCGCTAGCAGATATTGATTGTGTGTGGCCGTTCAAGTGGTTGATGTCGGAGCCCACTATGAAGGACAGTCTTCCCGCGCGTTACTTCAACGCTGAGACGTATCCGAGAGTATTTTCGTGGGTAGAGAGATTTGTGGCACAACTGGAAAAGAAAAGGAAGAGAATGCCAATGCCCAAAACGCTGGACGGAAATACTATGGTCCAACGAACTCTTGGCACTTCTACCTCACCAGAAAACGTTACATTTATCGATGACAATTCACATAAGCTCAAATACGGCGACGAGGTCGAGATATTTCCTTCCGATTACGGACATATGGGAAAGACTGTTGGGAATCTCGTTGGTCTTACAATTGACGAGGTCACTATCTGTAACAGCAAAAGCGTCCGTGTACATTTTCCGCGCTGGAACTTCAGTGTCGTCAAAATCGCGTCTAAGTCCATGATCTAGACAACTGATAGATCCGATTTCCGTTCATCCTTCTCGCTACGGTTAGTGAATTTAGTGAGCTCGTTCCAAGGTAATAGTTGCTGTCTCATCGCTTTTCATCACCGAAGCGTTTTCCTATCGGTCACTGTAGCTGTTGTAACATTGCGTTATGGAACACCAGCGGACTAGATGTTTAGCAATTCGCACTTTAGTTTGTAGTCATTGCAGGTAAGCTGGGACATTTGAAACATAACGCTACGATGGAGATGAACATATGAGCCCATGCAAAATGGTACGTCCGTGTCATGAGCCTTTTGTTATCGAATTAAATTAATCGTGGTTGGTAAAACTTTGCAGGACGGTATACATCGACCTCTGACGCAACACGACGACAGCAAAGTCACTGCTGTTCACGAAAGCTATTCTTCCTTGTCCGCAGCTTATGAGGCTAATGAATTGCCAGCGCCATTCTCCTTGCAGTAATAGTTCAACTCATCACCACCGATGTGATTCCCTAGCGATTGACAAAGGTTGAGCTTGCCGACTTCGGTCTGCACAATGTTAGCATGCGAAGGGTTCATGGAGGGATTCTTGTATGTCTCACCATCTTGCAATCGGCACATGTATCCCATTGCTGGTCGCCAGTGTTGCGATTCAGATATGCGTCGCATGCCTTTGTTGTTGCGTCGGCGTTGTACACGTATTGTCCGCCGACTTCATCGACACAAAGACCTTCCCTGTGGAGGTCGGCGCTGACGAAGGAGCCCACGAGGATGGAAAGTGCGGAGAGGCCGACTGAGAAATGCATGACGGCTTCAGGTTTCGAAATAGCTCAGACAGAGCGAAGGTAACGACAGAATTGACTGTAAAAGCCAGGTGCACCAAAGGCTTAAAGAGCGGAAGTTGGGTACTGCTCAGAACCGGATGTGGAAACAAGATAAATAAGTAAGAACTGATGATAGAACGGATCCTCGTTCATGCTTTCATGGCCATCACTACAATTGTCCTTTGTCCATTCTCGGCGCAATTGTGGCGAGCGCGCCCCTTCTTCCAAGGTTTTGAAACGTGGTCGAGCCACCGCGGTATCGAGGGACCGCACAGCAATGCCCCAATCCCACATTCCCTCGGCAGGTGAACCGAGTGCACTATTAGAGCGGCGTCCTATTAGAAGTCGGGAATTCTATGCCTTGTATTATTAAGGGTAGATGCCGAGAACCCGGAGAGGGTTTGCACTTCATGCGCTTCGGCCCGAAAGAACGATGCGGGCGTGCTTTTGTTACAGTGATACTCGAGGAGCCACTCGACTCATGTTGGGCCTAGCGAGACCCACTCAGAATAAGTAATCCTACGGCGAGCCTTTGGGTAGGCATGGAAGAACTATTCGTACTTCGAGACAGCAAATCACCGGACAACCATGAAACCAATCAGCCGCGCACCTGAACACGTTACCTAGGTTCGTATACTCCACCACTATTGATCCTTCATAAATCCCTGCCAAGAAATGTATTGACGTACCTGTTTACCAAGATAGCTGGAATGTTAAAATTGCGTCTCAGAACCCATGTTACGATCAGTCATACAGCCGACGCTGCCAATGCGGTGCTAACTTGCTCGCATGTCTTGACGATAAGTAGAGCACGCCTCCCTGATCATGAATTCTTCTCACCACCTTACCTGCCCTGTCACTCTTTTCGTAAAGTTCTACACATTCGTTTCACCTCATATATGTACTCGCTATAATGCACTCCACTTCCTTCATCACCCTCATTTTTGGCGCCGCTCTCGTCGCGGCTGCTCCCGCACCCGTCAAAATCGGACTGGATGACGTTATCCTCCACGGCAAAGGCCACTTCACCGTTATGAAACGATCTGCCTTTGAAGAGCTGGAAGCTGCACGCAAGGCCAGTGCTGTACCTCCGAAGCCTGCCTACCTTGCTGAGATTCACTTCTCCGGCAACGAGACCAAAACACCAGACAAGCAGCACTTGAAACGCGACACCAGCATTATCATTCCAAACCCCAACTCTCGTTTCTTGGGCTGGGATGTTCAAATGAGCCAAGTCACCAAGGGCGCACCGACTACTATCTCCGTCGCCTCGGGTTTCTCCATTAGTAACAGCATTTCGGTTGGGGCGAGCAGCACTTTGACACTAGTCAAGGACTTCCTCCAAGTCTCCATGTCAATCGACTACAGCCAGACGTGGCAAACGACTCAGACGCAAACCTTCACCGCCGAGGTCCCCAAGGACAAGTATGGCGCTTTTGTCAGTAACCCTTGGACCAACCGTGCGAGTGGAAGTGTCTGGACGGGTACCATCGGTGGTGATGGACAGCTATCCGACTACCAGGCTGACTCGTTCGAGTCAAAGCAGTTCGACAATATGGAATGGGTTGATGGTGTTATTAGTCTTTGTACAGGCGACGAGTTTCCTCTCAAAAGGTGCTTGGGCGAGGGTACACTATGAGGCTGGAAAGGGCCGTGACGAGCACATACTGACTTGACTGGGTGTCGGAATCGAGGATGCATGGAGGATCAAGACGGCTTCATAGATCCAGTACAGCTAATAATATTCAAGTGCTGTTTTGTAGAGGAAAGCGTTTATTGTGAGACCCGTCGAGCATGAGGCAATCGCATATCAAACTCCTAGCACTAGGCCGAGAACCTGGTTGATCATGCCTTTATACCTGCATCGTTCTGTCCACCCAAGGCTTCAGCGCCGCAAGTCCGATGACAACAGCCTCCTCTGTTCTAATTGTCCTGCTGCCCTGTCCCGGAACCAAATTAACCCAAGCATCAAAAAGCTCGCTAGCCATCGATTTGCCCAATCCCCTTGCCGCGAGAACCGGGTCGTTGGCAATAGCCGGTTCTATGCCCGCTTGACCACCAAATACAATAAGGAGGTGTTTGAAGGGTTTGTGAGCTTTGGCTTTGGCTGCAAACGTAGCAGACTCATTGCTGGTGTCAGTAAATAGTGAATAGACAGACTGGCCGCGTTCCGATGTCCCTATAGACATGTCATAGCCATCTGGGTATTCGCAATCGGAGAAGACGGCGCTGAGTGATGGAGCGCGTCGGACTGTGTAACCCCAGTAGTAGCCGCCTTCCTCACGTGGCACGCTGGCCGAGCATGCCGTAGCATCCAGTCGATTGCATTCCTGCTGAGATAGGTGGGGCCAGTTGGGTGGTGCATCGGCATTGGTGAAGCGAACGGTTGTGCGCATGCCTTGCTCAGGAGGGGCTTCTTTGGAGACAGGGACGCGGATGGGATACGGCAGACCGCATTTGACGTATGCATACTCTGAGTCATGAGACAGAGATGTCCCTGAATTGTTGTTCTTGGGTATCAATGATGTGGGTAAAAGGGCTGGGCCGACAAAGACACCTTCGCGGTATCGACACCACTCGTGGCTTCGAAGATGGTGCGGCATATCCATACTCGGGAGATTACCAACCCATTTGAGATTCTGATGTTCCTTGAAGATGCTCAATCGGGGATCATCGGCGTCGTATCGTAGATGAGGTGGGCATTCGGCGTAAGACAATAAATGGCAAAGGAACTGGTCTGGGTTCTGCCATGCCTCATCGTGCTCCAGGATAGAGTCGAGGACTTGTTGCTTGGACCGTCCTTTGCGGATGTATTTGGAATCAACTACTCTGGGGTCGACATTGCTTGGATCTTCATCGAATACAACGATTTCATCGACACAGTAGATGGCGGCTGCGCGTGCGATTCGTCCGACTTGGATAGTCTTGTGATCGGGCTTCTTGGCATTGAGAGTCCAGCTTCCCGGCAAAGCGATAGTGACGGTCCAGTCGCGACCTTTGGTTGGTGTGAAAAGAGCGGTAGGTTTAGAAGTATCAACGTCGTCTATTTGTTGCTCTTGGGTGTCGCGTTTGCGTTTCTTGGCAGGACTGACGTTGTCGTGTGGAGGCTGATGCACAGTCATGGTCAGTCTTCGACTTGAGCTTGAGCCGTTCGAAGTCACGATGTCGTGAACAAAGATGGCGCAACGTGCTCTTGAGTAACGGGTGCGGTCGCGGGAAAATGTGAATCGGTCGGTGGCATGTTGCTCGTTGAAGGTCGCAACTTTTTGTCCTGTCTTAGCGCGCCCACCCCTGTCGCACCGCGGCTTGCGGCTTGCGGCTTGCGGCGGCGCAACTTGACTTCGATGTCTCTTTCCCACCATGACAGTGGTATAAGCTGCTCTGATCTAAAAGCATCCTCGAGACGACGCACCTCACAACATGGAGGGCCACAAGTACACCTAGCCACCGCTCCCTTCATTGCTCGCATACAAAACTAACAACCCCCTCTAGGCCCACGACCTCGCCTGCGACCTCTTCGACGCCCACGAGCACGCTCTTCACCTTCCTCGCCCTCTACCTTACTACGCTCTTCTCCTTCGACACGTGGGCCGCCGCACGAGGGTCCCCCTACCGCGCACCAGGCATCAACAACTCCACGTATCGCCCTGCCGTCACTGCACCAGCACCAGGCAGTTACCAGGACGGCATGCATGGGCGGGGTCGTGCTGGACCCAGGTCTGGTAGTCAAGCGCGGGGCGGTGGACATGCTGGGAGCATCGCACAGACGAGCGACTCAAGACCGCCGATTCAGATGGGTGGCACAGCTGCGTGCAGCGCTTGTTTGATCTAAGGCAGGCGACGTGAGGCGATGGGGACTGCACTTGCATGGCTGACGATGAATGGCGGCGTAGTCTTGAGCCTATCTTGACATCTTCATTGCTCCCTTTCGCGCCAAGCGACTCGGTGATGCTAGCGAAACTAACTACGCTCCCCTCCGCACATTCGTACTCATCAACGTGATCTTTTTGCCCTTCTTCTTCTTTCCACCGGCCGGCTTCTTCGTGCCTTCTTCGCCTCCACCCAGAGACATGGCTTGTGCTTGGGCAATCATGTCTTCCTCGGCAAGCAAATCCTTCTCCCAGCCCTGCAGCCACCCATCATCGCCGTCATGATGATTCTGGGGCCCAAACACTGGAGATGTGCCTGCCACTATCGCCGTACCCCATACGGTCCGTGGCGCTGACGGGCTTGACGAAGGAGAAGCCAACGGAGCGAAGCCATCGCCACGCCGCCGTGGCCAGGGTGGCGACGTCGAAGAGTTGTCTCCATCCATGACGGGCTGCACGTCCGGCATGCTGCCTGATGCTAGAGGCTGGAAATCGTCGGCGGAGAATCTCTCCGTCATGCTTGGACGTCTTCTGCGCGCAGATGCAAACTCGGCGTACTCGGCCTTTTCCGCACGCTGTCGTGCCTTCTCTTCTTTGCTCTCTTTCTCAACATGCCTCTTTCGCCTTCTCTCAATATCGGGTCGGAAGCGCTCCAGCACTTCTGGGGCAACAGTATCGGTCCAATCACATTCAAGGAAAGCAACCTCACAGCCGTATGGTAGATGCGCCAGGTATTTTGTGCGCTTGCGCAATTCGTCATCGACTACGTGTCCCGTAGATACGTGCTCGACACGGGGAAGGATCGTTGAGGGAAACGAGGCGAAATTTCCGAAAGCCGCTTTCAGAATGCGAATGTCTAGCGGAGATAAGTAGTAATGCAACAGTGCTTGGTAGAAGAAATATTCCGCGGGCGTCTGATGGTGCTCGTGGTGCTGTCGATTACGAAGCTCTGCAAGCGTCAAAGACATTCCATGGCTTGCTGCTGAAGAGTGCGAAGAGCCAGACATGGCCCTGTCCTTTCCGTAAGCAAGGCCGACCTGGGAATGGTCCTGTACGGTGTACATGTCTGGTGCCGTCGTTTCGTCGAATACGATGGGCGCTCTCTTCATCTTGGGTTCCGCGGGCTTGGCGGGCTCCTCTGGTGGGTTTCCGATTCCTTTGAGTTTCTCCTTGGCCTCTCGGATACTCCTTATCGCCTTGTTGGTCCATTCCATGCTGTCTTCGGCAAACATGACTTCGTCCTCTTTTCCTTGCTGCTCCAGCTTTACAATTTCCTGATCATGTTGGTGCAGCATGTAGTCCTCACCACCGCGCATTATGCGGGCATAATCGGTTACCTCGGCGGCATGATACCAAGGGATATCTTCATCTTTGGTGATAGCGTACGCGCCATCGCGGGGCATAGCCAGGGTGCTTCCCGCGGATCTGACAGCCAAGCGGAGAACTACATCGCCTCCCTCGCGAGGAGGCTCACCCTCCTGGCCTGTGTACCAGCGCACTGGCCTCGTTTCAGATGCGTATATGGTGTCGAAGCACAGCGGGCATTTGCTCGAACGTGCCCGCTTGTCTCGGGCCTTGGCGTCGTCCTCGGAATGCATGTAGCGGATGAGACATGGGAGACAGAAGATGTGGCCACACCTCGCCATCCTGGGGGCTACGGGTGAGCCAAGGCAAATGGGGCACGAGGCATCTTGCGAAATCTCGGAAGCCAGTATCTGCAGGACGTTGTTCCAATCGAGGTGGACATCGGCATCGACACTTTGGGCGCGGTAGTCGCCGCGGGGGTCTACGATGAAGCGGTAGTTGGCGTGCACGTATCTGCATGGTGTTAGCGGAATGGTCGACACGGTGCTGCTCCCGTTGAGACTCTCACCTTGCCTTGTCTACGGCGTGGTAGCCCGAGCCAAGGCCCCATGTCGGATTGCGCCGATAGCTCCTCGCGTGGCCATGGGCGGCATGGTTGGTTGGGCGGGGCGGCAAGCTGAAGTTCATGAGGTGGGTAATGGACGTCTGGCCCTTGCGGTTCTGGAAGGGACGCATGGCGAGAGACTCGGCAATGGCATCCTCATCCGTCTGCCTGAAGCGCTTCGACGCCTTGTGCTGTTTCTTCTGCTGCTGCGAGTTGCGGGGAGTCGGTGATGACCGCGCGGGCGCGCCACTACCCCGCGGCTGCGTGGAGAAGCTGCTGGTGCTGGCGGAGGGCGTCTGCGTCTGGGCGGGTGAAGCGGGCCCCGAGGGAGCGGAGGCCTTGGACGAGGCGGCGGCGGTGGGCGGATTGCTGGACATGACGCCCAGCTAAGGGTTCACGAGCAGGACAAGGGCGAATAATGCGAGTGCGGTGGTATGTAGCTGCGAGGGTTGGCGTCCCCAAGAGGTGGCTTGGAGACGACGAGAGTCGCAAGGCCGAGTGGCGATGGTGCTCTGACGACAGCGTCTCCGCACAGACGGCTGCGATTGCCCTTTCGGATCACGTTGGCGCGGCTTCTTCTACAACCTCATCGATTCCGACCCCAACAGCAATCCACCCCGACCTCTACCTCTACACTGCACCCCACGTGTCTCCGTCGCGGGCAGCCCGTGCTGCGCTCATGTCGTCCTGATACCATGACCCCGCAGTCCCACTAGACATTTCCCTCTCCCCGTTGCCTCGCAAGCTGGCTGCGACGGCTCCCGCCAGCGCCCACGGTCGAGGCAACACGGCCTCCAGCGCCCACAATGCCCGGCCCGTACATGCCTGGCAGAAGGCACGAGCAGCAGTACTACCACCACCACCACCCGATGCCGCCACAGACACACTCGCCCGTCCAGCACAACCCCTATGCCGCGCCCTACCACCACAACCTCCACCACCTACCGCACTATGGCCCTCCCCACGCCTATGCCCAGCAGCAGCAGCAGTGGTACCCTTATCAGCAGCAGCAGCCGCCGCTCCAGTATGCCATGCCTCCGCGCCAGTTCCAGCCTCAACCCCATGCGTCGCCCGTCGTCGTCTCTTCTCATCTGCACACTGTCCCTCCGGCCAACCGCCCCATGGCGCAAACGCCGCCCATTGTCCACTCGCACACTCCGCCTGCTCCGCGCATGCCCACGCCTGCACCCGCCCCGCCCACGCCTGCGCTGCACTCGCCCGCTCTCATGACTTTCGACGCCCCTCCTCCCGAGGCTGAGTCAAAGCCTACAGAGGCCGCTCCGCCTACGCCGCAATCCATCGCATTCAAGCCTTTCTACCCGCCTCTGCCCTGGTTGTCCGTCCCCGAATCAGTCTTCCCGCCGCGCGCTGCACACCGCCGGCGAAGGCGCAGAGCTCCCGTGTCCATCGAAGACCAGGCTTTGGCCCTGCCCTCGCGCGAGCAGCCCGTGGACGAGCATGACGCCGCGTACCTCGACCAAGGCACCCAAGGCCAGCTGACCCCGACCGAGGAACCGGAGGACTCGCAGGCTTCTACTATACCAGCACCCTCTGACGCTGATGTCGATACTCCGTCTACCTCACATCCGCCTTCGGAAGCCGATCTGGCGCAATCTGCCCCACCGTCTACTGCAACACCATTGCCCGTACAATCGCCAGCCCAGCCTTCAGCCACTGTCAAGCAACACGCCCGCAACCCCACGATCCCAGCCGTGCCCCGCGTTCCTGTCAAACCAATACAGGCTCCCAGTGCACCTTCGACGACGCAACAGTCGGTTAAATCGCCCGCCGGCACTCATCAGGAACACACCCAGAATGGAGACACTACAGCAACAACACCCCACACAGGCCCAAACTCCGAAGAGACTCCAAAGGCATCTCCGCCTCGGCCGGCAGCACCAAAATCCTGGGCAGAGCTGTTGAGGGCAAAGAACACTCCCGCCGTCGCGCAGCCAGCTCCCTCTCCCAACAATACCCTGGCTGTTTCCAACGGCCCTGTAGTACCTAGCAACACCACGCTTGCACACGTTCTGGCGTCTTTCTCAGTTGACGCCGAGACAAAGGCTTCCTTTATCGAGCCTCGAGGGCTTGTAAACACGGGCAACTTGTGCTACATGAACTCGGTGCGACCTAACCCGCTACTCTACTCTGTGCCACGCTGACTTGTCTTGCAGATTCTCCAAGTACTACTGTTCTGCGTTCCCTTTTACGACTTCCTTGATCAGGTGGCAAAGCGCGCTGCGCACAGCTTCAAGTCCGAAACTCCTCTCGTGGACGCCATGATCATGTTCCTGCGCGACTTCCGACTCATCGACTCTGCCGACACCGTCGACCAACTCCGTCTTCGGCTGAAAGGCAACGAGCTCGAGCAGTACGGCGACCCGCTCACACCCGAGTACGTATACGACGTCATAAAGCGTCTGCCTCGATTCGACAATATGAAGAGGGGTCAGCAAGAAGACGCCGAGGAGTTTCTGGGCTTCTTGCTTGCTGGACTGCACGACGAGTGCGTCCACATCATCAAGAGTGGCAAGCAGAGCCAGTCCGCAGACGCCGTCGCATCCCCCGGGACCGCACGATCAGGCTCCATTGATGGTGGTTGGGAAGAGGTTGGGCACAAGCAAAAAACTTCTATTACACAAAATTCTGGGGCGATTGATGTTGAAAGTCCCATCACCAAGATCTTCGGTGGCAAGTTGCGGTCGGAATACAAGAGGCCAGGCGAGAAGGCCTCGGTCACACTTGAGCCGTACCAACCCCTTCAGCTCGATATCGGTGAGCCCAACACTAACAGCATCTCTGATGCTCTCAAGAATCTTACGCGTCTGGAGACGTTGGACGGTGCGGCTCGGGGTTCGAAAGCTTCCACCAAACAAGTGCATATTGAGACCCTCCCACCAGTCCTCATTCTTCACCTGAAGCGTTTTCACTACGACGAAAAGGGACCACAAAAGATTTGGAAGAAGATTGGATACCCCTTGGAGTTGGAGCTTCCGAGGGAGGTTTTCCCCCCGCATAAGCGAAGCAGCTATCAGATCCAGGGATGCTTCCCGCGTTACCGGCTTATCGGTGTCGTGTACCACCACGGTAAGAACGCAAGTGGCGGCCACTACACCGTCGACCTCCGGCGCCAGGAGGGCAAGGAATGGATCCGAATGGACGATACCATCATTCGTCGCATCCGCGCCGAAGATGTCGCTGAGGGCGGCGCTGAAGAGGATCCCAAGGTCCTGGCGGCTGCGCTCGAGCAACACCAGAGCGATGTGGGGAAGAGCAAGAACTTCTTCGCCCGGATCGACTTGGATGAGCAAGAGATGGACAAAGGAGGCTGGAACCAAGTCAATGGAGCCGAGAAGCAAAAGGACAGCATCAAGAAATGGACTAGTGCTGTCAACGGTACGGTAACCCCTATCTCAGCGGGCAAGAGGACGCCTCTGCCCAGCGAGAATCTGCGCGACAACAAAGTGGCCTACATCCTATTCTACCAGCGCATGGAGACTTGAACGATGTTTAGTGGATGGGCCAGACGAAATATGATGAGTCGGCGTCTATTCGAGTCGTTTGGTCATCTCACCTCCAAATTTTACTGCAGCATCTACGACCGAGAAAGAAAAGCCACGATATGCATGCCAATGATGCGTGCAATAGATCTACCGGATCCGCACGATGTACCAAGAAGAGTAGTGACGCCTTCATGTCGATGTGATACCCTGTGGCAGGTGTTTAGCACACGACAAATAATAAAATGATCGAATGTTCACTCCTGCCCCATTCTTACATGCTCGATATATCAGGCCAACTATTCTTGCCTGGACAGTCTGGTGAATACATAATATTGATGAAATCATTATTTTGTAAGATCGACAACCATTAAGATGAATATATGGACAAGTAGGTATTATCAGAAAGGCGTTCAAGTCTGGTACAGCCCAATTAGACGTGAAAGGTCGCTGAAGAATGCGTCAAAGACTATTCATACAAGGCTGTTTCGACCAATGTGCAAAACAGCATGTCCCGGCTCGGAACTGGGGTATCGCTCTCTTCGAAACCTTCTCGTTCGGTAGCCATGTTGCCACAGCATATACCATAGTGCAGTCCCAAGACAACTTCATTGTCGTAAAGCATCTTGGAACGCAGCGGAAGGAGTAGCGATAATTCACAATTGACCAAATGCTTATAGCGAGACGATGAGCTATAAGTACGCGTTGGAATAAGCCGAATTTACGCCCTGAAGAGCTCTTGATAGATACAACTAAGCGTCGTGTATAAACGCACATGCAGTATCCAAGGCTATGCGAACACATCTGCTACCAAGGCAATATCTTCCCAAAAGCAGATATCACCAGTAATACGCAGACAGATTAGTACGTCGGTGCCGCCACGGCGTCCTTCGGAACTCACCCCCGGCATGCGGATAATCTCGTCGCAATATCAAATCAAGGACGCTACGTCATACTGGGTGCGCTAAAGAAGCGACTAAGGTCAGGTCACTTCCCCAGAGCTTAGCGAAATAATTGCGAAAATGAGAGCTGGCGATAAGATACAGTGCGACATGATTGAAGTCATTTGTAGGTTCTAGCAAATGCTTCGGCTTACATAGACTGTTCAAAGCGTGCACTGATGTGTGAACGTTGCCAGCGTCTTCAAGTCATGGCCGCCACTGGCAAACAAGGAAATCTCAGAGGGTTCTGTCACAACGTGCTTCTTTGAAGTGGGTGCTTAATGTTGAAGGCTTCGTGCACAGAATCGACCAACATTCCAGGTATCTTTTGAGTTGTTCGAGATGTAAACAATGATTGTGTGTTCAAGGTCGGCCCGGTGCCGACCGACAAGGTGTTAGACATAGTTGCATTAGCGTCAGGCGGGGAAGATACCTCGGCTTCAACACGCCCAAGCTTACCCATCAGCAGCTTAGTACCATCTCTCAAAGCCTTGGGCTGTCCATACCTTTGAATACTTCTCGCGACAGCAGCCGTAAATGTGACCTCACTCGAACAGTTCATAGTGACCGTCTCGTCCGCCGTGCCGTGCCCAACATGTCATCCGTCAACTGTCAAACAACGCCACCTCCCACCTCCCACGTCGTCCTCTCTTATCCAGCCGACTATGTCCTCCTCGTTACAATTAACCGCGAAAGACAGATGAACTCGATACCGTTCGAAGGACACCTTGAAATGGGCCAGGTATTCGATTGGTTCGACCATGAGCCCAACCTCCGCGTTGCCATTGTCACAGGAGCAGGCAAGAAGAGCTTTTGCGCCGGGCAAGATCTCATTCAACTCGGAAAGATAAGGAGCGGGGAGCTGAAAGCAAGCCCTGGTATGATGCGACACCCTGTGAGTGGGTTTGGGGGGCTGAGCAGAAGGATGGGAAAGAAGCCGGTTATCGCTGCTGTCAATGGGTTTGCGCTGGGTGGAGGATTCGAGATTGTTCTGGGCTGGTACGTCGCGCTTCGCTATGAATTTGGGAATGAGACAGGCTGCTAATCAGCGGCTTTACAGCGACATGGTGGTAGCGGCACCTCACGCAACCTTTGGTCTCCCAGAAGCTCTCCGTGGCATCTTCGCCGGCGCAGGAGGCCCACCACGTCTAGTCCGCAACGTAGGCCTACCCATCGCATCCGAGATGGCATTGACAGGCCGATCCATTACCGCGCAACGAGCCAGAGAGCTCAACCTCGTCAATCGCATATCGCCATCCCAAGACACGGTAGTGGAAGAGGCGTTGAAACTGGCAAATGAAATCGCAGCCATTTCACCTGATTCGGCAATTGTCACACGAGCGGCGCTGAAGCAAGCTTGGGAAACTGGGAGCGTGGAGCGGGCTACTCAACTGACGATTGAGCAGTATAATCACGGCTTGAACGCGGGGGATAATGCGCTAGAGGGGCTCAAGGCTTTTGCAGAGAAGCGGAAACCGAACTGGCGACCTTCCAAGCTGTAGACGTGACTGCAGTATGGAGCTTGCTATCTTGAATTTGCAACTCCCGTGCACTCTTCTGGTATAGTTAGTTTTTCTTACCTACCTGTTCATTCTGGTAACTGAACAAGTCCTTATTCTACGTGGGTGAATGTTACCCGTCGTGCATATGTTGGCAGGCTTCGGTGATGCTTTTCCTAGCACACGACGTCGATCGGCGCGTCTCTGATGTGCTCGGCCAATAGCCTCGCACCGAACTTTACGAGGCTGTTGAACCAAGCCAGATAGAGTTAGCACAGTATGTAGGAAGAGGTTGTCATCGCATGCATCCTACATGCGCCCCATAACCCCACCTTTCCCCGCATGGGAGCGTTCGGGTAGCGCTAGCACGACGTAATGTCAAAGGAAACTCCCGAGGTAGGCGCTATTAAAGCGGATTATAACGGAGTATCTAGTCTGAAAAGATCGTTGACCCGGAGACGTTGACATTCTACTGACTTGAACTGCACGATTCAATGAAGAACTGGAGACCCTGCTTTGACATCATACCCTCTATCTTGCCATGGTGAACCGACGAGCTAGCGATGCAGCGGCTCCCCCAACTCAAACACCCGTTGCAACCGTCGCCAAGCGAAAACGACGTGCTTCCTGCCTAGGAGAACAAGAGCGTCGCGAACGGAAAAGAGCTATTGACCGTGAAGCTCAACGCTCACTGCGAGAAAAGACCAAAACGCACATCGCGGAATTGGAACGAACAATCCAGATACTTCGCGATCAAGATCGTAACGGGGCTACGTCGAGTCTGCTCTCCGAGATTGATAATCTACGAGCGGAAAATGAGCAGTTGAGGGATGTCATCGATAGCGTCAAGAGTGTAGTGGGGCTGGACCTTGGGGTGTCGAGCAAGACCGCTGCGGCGATCGTACCACCATACCTCGCTGATGATGGTGACGATGAGGACACTCCTCTCGCTGCGACGAGTGCCGGTACGCATGGATCTCTAGCACTGACCCTTGACTCACTATGGATGCTAGGGCAGCAATCGCCTAAGCCAAGCATTGTCTCGTCTAGCAGTATGACGAGACCACCTGCATCTCTGCCGGCGCCCATCGACCAGCCCACCACCCATAGTTCTTCTGAAACAATGCGCTCGCTCGATCTTGATGGTATGACAGTAATGCCAGATCTATTTCCGCCGCCTGTGGGGTCGAATCAACCACTTAGCTTGGAGCCCGTTCTCCCGCCTGTACACAAGAGCTCAGCAGAAGAAAAGGGAGGAGGCCAGCACTGGGCCCATGCATCAGCTACAGCAACATGGGCGCCCATGATGGAAGAAGTATGTTAATCATCGTCTTCTTTCCCTGGCTGACTCAGAACTACCTACAGATTTTCGGCCCAAACTGGCGTTGTCCCTCTCCAACAATCCTCCACATTGGCAACCCAGACAACCCCACCCCCCTAGCCTCATCCTCCATTTGCCCTATTTGGAAAAAGAGCAACGAACTCTTTGGCAAAGTCTTTACCTACAATCGTCGTTACTCAGGCAATTCTGACAAGTATTCATCTTCGTGCCACAATCTAGTGCCGGTCGATATCGCAGAAGCAGGACTTCTATACGCTGGCATAAAGCAGGGTTGGAACAGCTTAGCCTCGTTGGAATGGAAGAAAAGTCCAGCGCTTGCTATTCTGAAACAGGTCGACGAGTTGCTGTTTGTTCATTTACCCAATGTAGAGAGGCTGGCTGTGGCGTATAAGAGCTTCAAACTGCTCAAGGTACGTCGACGCCAGCTCACCATGCATGAAGCATACAAATCAGGAAGCTAACCTGCGTACGGTAGTATTATCTGAACGCAAGAAAAGAAGAATTAGACAGAGTACCCGACTGGCTCCGTCCAAGGTAACCTTCTCACCTAGCTACCCACCCGCATGCATTCCCTTATGCCACGCGAGCCCAGTTCACTCCTTCGTCCGTCCGTCCGTCCGTCTGACACTACGATCAGTTTCTCACAGTCATCCACGGCCCACCCCATCGCCCTTGACTTCTTCGCCTGGCCCACCCTCCGCTCCCGCCTCTTGAATAACCATGCCACGATCTTCCAAAACACCGATCTCTCATGCTGTTACTCGCGCTATCTGCGCTTCGACTGGCCTTTTCCCATTGAAGACGCTTTCTTCCTCGATGATAGCAGTGGAAACCACTACCCCAGTCCTCTGTTTGAGCGATACCACGGGGATCTGAAGTATTGGTCGGTAGACGAAAGGTTCTTTGACACGTTTCCGGAGATGAAGGGGGATATTGAGGGGGACCGGTGCAGGGGAGGATGACGGTATGTTGAATCAACCAAGGTAATTGCGTTGTCCATTTGATGCTACATTAGAAATTGACCATGATGGCGAAATATGCCATGTTCGCTATCTATGCTGTACCAGTACATTGTCACCCTGTCCGTTCCACTAGTACTGGCCAGCCGCCGCTTGACACGCCTTGAGCTGGTCCAAGTACCAACCACAGATAGTCAGACTACCTTGGTTCTCATCCATACATTTGCGAAAGGTCTGAACATCGTTTGCGCAAGGACCGGACTGCGCCATTTGGGCGGATGCGGTGTCGGCGGGCTGGTGCTGGGCAGAGAACTCGGTGTTCTGGGGCGAAGCTTCGGCGGGGGCAGATGAACCGCCTCCGAACCAGCCTCCGACAGCGTGGCCGATGGAGGAACCTACTGCGACACCGCTGTTGTGAAGGTCAGTCATGTATAAGCATGTTGGTGCATTGGGCCGGTTTCGGATGCAGAGAGTATCCGCGTAGTGGCAAACAGGTGGCGCAAAGGTGGGTGCAGGATCTACTTACGTAGCAGTGCTAGCCATTTGCCCAAACAAGCCGGGTCCCTGCGGCGTGGGAGCTTGCGCCTGTTGCTGAGGAGGCGCATGAGCGCTGGCTGGTGCGTGTGGGGGAGCTGCCGCCGTAGAATGAGGGCGCGAAGAAGCGGGCGCAGGAGCAGTGGTTGCTTGCTTCGCGGCTGGTACCTGCGGGCGACGAGGAGGAGCGGTTCCAGAGCGTTGACGAGGCATGTTGAGCGATTCGGTGGTGATATGTGGTTTGCAGGTAGACTCGGGTGTGGTGGCAGGCAATGGGGATTCAAGGCATCGACATGGCGATTTCAAGCCGTTTTTTAGAGCAGCATTCGGGCTTGGCGCGGGTGGGCACGTCGCCGGCTTCCGCATTGGCTTATTGGCTCGTCGTCCATCAATTTGTACCCTGACAGGAACATCACAACATGGTGTGCCACGTCCGTTTGCCCGATCCATTCTAACAAATATCTTCGACCTCGACGTCACCACCACTCTTTGGCCCGAGGTCAGTTCGCAGCGTCCGATCGAAAAGCTCCTTGAGCATCTCAAAGCAGATCCCCGCCAACGCAGCATCGTACCGGCCCTTGCTAAGTTCGTCGCGAATGAAAGCGTCTATAGCGTATGAGTGTTGTTTCCATAATCGCGCCGATACAGAACTCACGTTGTGCCCAAGCTGGTTCGTAGAATGAAAATGTTACTCCAGCCTCTTGAAGCGTCTGTCTAATCAAATCCCTACCCTCGGCTGGGACATGAGTATCCATCTTACCAAAGATCATGACCAGTTCTCCTTTGATGTCCTTGGTGCGAGCGAGTGAGTCATCCTTTTTGCCCTTACCCAACGTGGAGCTGTGGATATCGGTTGCGAAATAGCAAATTGCACTGGAGATGCGGGGATCGAAAGCGCAACGATAGGCTAGATGACCGCCTAGACACATGCCTGCTTACGGTTAGCCTGGATTGATGGGAACGCTGAAGTTGAGTGGGAAAGGGGTATAATGGAGATGGGACTGAATAAGGACAAGATACAAGATGGCGGCAACGTACCGGTAGCGCCAACACGGCCATTACACGTTGGCAGTTCAAGCAGGGTGTCAATGGAAAGCGTGGCATCTTCGTCATATGCTTCCACTGTCTTTGTGATCTTCCATTCGTTCCCAGCGTCCGTACCCGGACCGTCGTACGCCAGAGGCTCGGGACCAGTAAATTCGTGGTATGAGGACGGTGCTGCGACGATATATCCTCGGGACGCTATTTGACGAGCAAAGCGAGCAACGGGCCCAGTGACTTGTCAAAGCTCAATTAGTAGATGAAACAGGTAGCATAGACGGATGATGGGGACACATAGGTGGTCCTTGGAGAGTAAAAAGATGAATGATAAGGTTCAAGTGGTGAGCTAGATAGAATAGAAGATTTGGGGTCGTGCAAGCAGGCGGCTACATCTATTCTTACTCCCGAGGTCGTCAAAGCGCACGAATGCACTTGGAAAACTTCAAGACAAATCAAATCAAATCAAACGCACGTACCTTGGTATATTTCGGAGAATACAACGACAGCCGGGAATTTGGCCTTCGGGTAGTTGGCAATAGTAGGGTGGAAGATGAAGACCCCTGGACGGCGAGCATACAAATTAGCCTCCGTGTAACAACCTTCTCGTGACACCCATGGACGGCACACCTGGGCATGCAGTAACATACTCATATCACCACCTGCCTTGGTGGGTACATCTTTGTGTGTCTCTATAACGAGCATTGCGTGTTTCTTGTCTTGTTTGACCTGAGCGTTGTTTGGCTATTGGTAAGGCTGCGGCGTACGTGTTTGTGAAGGTGGTTTTGAGGTGGGGTGGTGGGGTAATGTTATGCGCACGGTCCAGGCGACATTGAAGCACATGCGATGCAGAGACAACCAGCGTCTCTATTATGCCACGAGGGGTTTGAGAAATTAAATGTCAGAACTGTGCTGATGCAAGTGCTACGAGTGTGATGAAAACATCTGCCATGCCATTTTTTATTATTGGGGTTGGCTTTTGCAGTTCATTCGACCTTCGCCGAGGTGGTTTCTACCTGACATGACCTCGGGATGCTGAGAGTGACAAATTGAAGAGTTGGTTTGCGAATATGAGTACATGGTAGTCTGGGAGAAAGATATCAAGTCCATGTGACGACGTGCATTGCTGGAGGGCCATACCAGGGATCTGATAACATTTTCATGCGAGTTGGAATATCTACAAAAGCTTGTCCCAAACTATGGGTACCCAGTGGGTCAGTTCAGTAGTGTTGGTGGAGGCCGTCTAGGGGACACATGCGAGGTGATGTCAATCCCGAGCTAGACAGCGAAGGAGAAAAGAATAGCGACTTGAGGGACGGAGAGGTACGGGCTTGGTACGCTGCACTGAGAGGTGACGAAACGGTCGAGTGGGATTCATGAGGCCTCACCGCCAATGGCGCCAGTTCGGCGGCAGACTTGCGACGGTCGTGATGTGACTAGAGGAGAATAGCGAAGGGTTGCAGAGCAGACATGGACTAGCTGCACCGACAGTCGAGCATGCGATAGTGCAATCACTGCGACGTGTGCGCGAGGTTCTTGAGAGAAGAGCAGGATGGCCTGCTGCAGCATGTGAGGGCCGGGTGCAGGGATGTGGCACCTGTCATGCGAGAATCTCGTGGCTGGGATGCTTGGGCACCTAGTGTTCGAAGGGTATGAGGCCCAAAAACACCCAATGGTTCTGTGCGTACGTCGATGCCACGAAACGGGCCGGGCGGTGTGCTTGGCCTCCTGCTCGATGTGTGCGCGGACGTCACGCACACCTGGCCGTGTCTTGACTGGCGCTGCCACTGGTAGCTGGCAGGCTGGAAAGCGCTGGATCCCGCATGTCGCACGGCGTTGGAGAAGATTGACGGCAGCCACATCTCGCGACATTCCTCCAGGGTGCGCGGCGCGAGCCAATCACGTGTCTACCAGCTCTTGACCTGACTTTTGATGCCAAACTCGACCCTCGAAGCTTGCACTCCAACAAGGCCGCTCCCGGGCGCTTTCACCGTCGTCTCTTGCTTGCTTCTTCCCGCAGACTCAACGCCCCCCTCGACAGCACCGGGCGTTCCAAGGCGGCAAGCCGTGTTGGGGAAGCCATCCAATTTCCCAGGTGCTCGCTCGACTGCCCAAGCCCCACCCAAGCCCATTGTCGAGCACCGTTGTGCTCGTCCCCAACGCGAAGCAGCGCTGGTTTTGGCGGTTCCTGTTGTTGCACACGCCCGTCCCGCGCCTCCGCTGCCGCAGTCGCCGCGCCAGTCTTTGGCTCGCCGCCAGTACTCGCCGCCTGGCCTGGCCGCGCTGTGTGTGCTGCGGATTTTGAAGCCCTGGGCAGCTCTGTCCTGCGCCGCTGCATATCGTGCTGCCTGTCCGCAGTTCCTTGCTTCTACCTCGCGCTCCGTAGGTCGAGTTCAACCCCCGCCGCCAAGACTTTCTTCGCCAGCATCCCAACCATGACTGACTCTCACTCTACTCTACCCTCCTCTGTGTCCCCAGTGCCTCGCTGACTGGCGCAGTACCTAGGTCGCCGCTACCGCCCCGGAGGCACCTCGTCCCCTCCCTCCACGGCCCTCGCACCGCGCCTTCCCTCCCAGTAAACGTCGTGTTTTGCTACGACAGCCCCGGCGCCCTACATGCAGCCGTCGTTGTCTGCGGCTTTCTCATCATGGATACCGAGGATGGCCACGTCTTCATAAGGGTGCGGTTCTCAATGACTAGCCTTGCTCGGAACATGCGTTGACACGGCTCTAGAACCTGGCTTACTTTGTACGAACCCACGAAAAGGCCCTCGCCAACGCCCTGCAACTGCAGAGGCAGATGCCCAAGAATGGCCAGGCCATTATCTCACCCTCGTCTCCCAACGGCCCCGCTAGTCCGCCCTCATCCTCGTCGTCAAGCGTCTGGGCCGCCGCCCTGTCTTTGCCGTCCCTGACCTTCACCTCACAGTCCATCAAGCCAGCCAAGCTCACATTGACGCCCCACCATCTCTTCTACATCCTTTCTCGATTCGAGGAGCTCGGCATAC